TTTTTTTTCTTCCTTTGCTCTTTTATTTTCATTTGTTTTGTTTCGTTTTTTCTTTTTGTCATTTCGCTTTTTTTAGCCTAGAACTATGATTAGTACGACTATCTAATATACTTATTTTAAGATTTACTGTAGCTCTGCCATTGATTTTCCCATGTGTAATTATGATAATATTTTGTTCTATTTATCTAACTGAGGGAGCCCATTCCTTATAAGCCCGGTGGCTTCTCTTGGGCTTCCTCGCCATGAGAGTTTAAGTAATTAGATTTCATTTGATTTGTATAATTTTTTGGCAAACAAAACAATAAACAATAAACAATGCATGTCAGTGTCAATGTGTAATTCTTTTCTTCATTTTACCTCTTTTTCGACCCTAAACGCAGCATTTGTGCTCTTCTTATAGATCACCAGTATTAGTAACACCATCACAAACAATAAAACTCCTGCTACAGCAACTAAGATCCACAGTAGAGGAGATTGATCGTCGTTTGTTGAAGCTGAAGTATCACCTATAAAGAGCGAGCGAGATAAGCATTTCAATGAGAAGTGAACATGTAGTTGTTGTTATCCATACAATATATTTTCTCGTACTTTCTTTACCGGGCTTGTACTAGTTATAAATGAACAGTCTTTTTCTGATTGGTGGAATTGATTGTTTGTTTCTGTTCATGTTTGATACTAGCACTACAATTTTCTTTGGAGCATTGAGTCAACCTATTCGTGCAAATCACCCTTGGGGACTCCCTATAAAGGCCAAAACGAGGAGGCGCCGTCCGAACGGGGTACCCTTTTCAGACTTCAGGTATATGAAAGGGTAGGAATTTTACTTAAGCTGAAGTATATGAAAGGGTAGGGAAATTTGCTAGTTCGGTCTGTATTTTATGGCTGTGAAAGAGTCACTGACAAAAACGTTCCGGTTTTGCCCGACGTATTCATGTTTAAAAGACAGTGCTTTTACAGCAGTCGAAACAAATGCAAAGTTCTTAAACAAATACGCGAAAGGGGTGCAATTTTTGGAAGGTAGAGAAGGGGTACCTTTTTAAAAATGGTGTATGTAACAAAGTAAGGGGTTGGAACTTGGGGCTTGATTACACCCTGACTCCGGGGTGCATTACCAAGCAGTCCGATCCTCTAAAAGATTTACGTCTGGAATTTTGTAAGGTCAAATAAATGTATTTTAATTTTTTAATTTATGCATTCAGCGTCCTAGCCACTGTTTAGTTGAGTGCTGCTCAACAACTTTGGATAGCGTAGATCCAGATCGGATTAGAATGGCCAAATAATGATTAAGCTCCATTAGGAACCTGGTCAATAGGCCCAGGGCTGTTAGTCTCTAGTTTTAGAAACGATGGAACATGACAGACCTTAGCTAACTTAGTGCCTAGCATATCCTTGATCATTTTTTATGTTATTCACTAGTTGAACTAGATAAAAGGGTACGGAAAACTATCATCTGGGTCTGTAAAAGGGCCCAAAAGGGCTAACAGATGAGTTTTATGGCTATAAAAAGTCAAGAAAACATTATCGTTTTGTGACTGATTCCTTTTTTAAAAGACAATGCATTTACATTAGTTAAAAGGGATACAACGTTCTTAGCAAGGTACGTGAAACGGGTACTATTTGCCAATAGAAGGTATACGAAAGGGGTACCTTTTTCGTGAAAAGTTGCGGGCTAAGGGGTTGAACCTCGGGACGGAGCCTCCTCGTATAAACATTTGATGGGTACCATCCCCCCCCCCCTCCCTCAGTGCAGAATACTTGCCTTTCAATGGACGCCTTCCTGCTAAAGAAAGCAATGCATCCTTTGAGACAACAATTCCTATTGTGTTCGCTGCCTGACATGTATATTTACCAAAATGGTGTTTTTCAACGGAGGCAATATGCAGTTCTGAAATGATACTGTCTCTTCCCTGGTATGTCTTGGCCTTTCTGTCAGTCACTTCCAATCCATCTCTCAGCCAAATAATCGAAGGGGCCGGCAGTCCTTCGACAGCGCATGTAAATACCACGTGATCACCAGGAGAGGCTGTGCGATTTTCTGGGTGCCGATATATTGAAGGGCCTATATCTGAAGTTTTTTTAAGAGAAAAGTTGTAATTTATATTTTAAATAGCTGCTATTTTGAACTAACAAGGGAACGTAACATTCTCTAGGGACTGAATAGAGATTGTTTTTAGCCTAGCTTGTCAAGCTCTCCATTTGATCTCCTTTTGCCACCCGAAATGAAGAAGAGCTTTCCTACAGCCGTTTGGCAACTCCCACTATACTCGAACACTTTCCCAACCTCCTCTTGAAAAACGTCAGCAACGCTTATAGTGTCTGAATATTACAAGTTTAAACAATAAGCTATTAGACACAGCGAGAGTCAGAACTTAAAACGTCTTTGATGCTACAAAAGTATATGCATATCATCGTCGAATCTTATCAATTGGGAAATTGATCTTCATTTTTAATTAATTAATTATTTATTTTATTTAAAAATCTGCGCTAAGATATCTCACAGAGCGAGCTCCATTACGTGGGCAATAAAAAAAACACTACTTATACACACAATAGTAACTTAGTAACAATGCATTAAAAACAACAGAAACCGCAATAACAAACATAATAGGGCTTGTAAACACTGATAAAAGAATCAACAACACATTCCATCGAGCAAGCGGGTCAATGGCCGACTAGTGTGGCACTTGATACACATAGTCTTGTAGGTCTTGCGTTAAGGGGGGGGGGAGGGGGGCGGGGTGGGGGTGGAGGAATCATAACCACTCAGACTTAATAAGAAACAAACAGTAATTAAAAAGTTCTTTCTTAAAGTGCGCTACTGAACAGTTAAAGTTCTAGAGGCGGGCTGATAAAGTGTTCCAGGTTCCTTGGAAGTCTTCCAGTAAAAACTGTTCTCAAAGGCTCTAATCGTATGGCGCGGAGTACCTTGAGAGGAATCAGAGCGCCTGGGTCTAGTGCATGTGGGTAAATTACCGAAATAAAAGAATCCGATAGACTAACTATTCATCTGAATACATACACCAGATCTAAAAATTCATGCCAATAACAAAAAGATAGAGGCTCATTTTTCCATAGTCTTTGCTTGGTTCGGACCGATACGGCAAAGACAAAATGATTTTTTTTTTGCGCGCTGCCTAATTCTTTCGATGTCAAGGATAAAATTGAGAGCTCAAGGGGCCCACCCAGACGACGAGCGAATAGTATCCCATGATGCATTTTTCCAGAAGCATCACGCAATATCGCAGTCATGGCAGATTCCATCATGAAATAAGGTCGTTTTCTCGTCGGCTTTTTTCTCACTCGATTTCCAGTAAAAGTAAGAAAATTACATTATTTCGTTATTTGACATGATTTCTCCGATTTGCAACGGCTTAAGAGCGAAGTTTCCGCACAGAAACATTTATTTTCACGGTTTCAAGTAGTCTTCCCATCACAAAGTGTTCACTGACCCACAACAAGGTCATGAATATTCAAGATTTTTTGGAATATACGTTGAAATCTTCGAAATGTGGACGTCACGCCAGCAAAATGAAGTCCTGAATATTGTACAGGCTAAGAAGTACCCAGAAGTACCCACATTTTGAAGACTTTTTTGTCGACCAAAGATGGCTTAAATTTCGAATCTTTTATCACATTTCAACGCCATGTGTCATAATATATGTGTAAAGCCTGCTGAAGGCTACAATCTGTTGGGCGCTTTCGAGAGCGCTTTAATATTTATGCCGAAGCAATCACTTTGTATTTTCAAAGAGGTTATTTTTAAAAGGAATTTGTCTATAATTATTTTTAATTCGAAGAAGGAGCGGTGCATAATGGTGTGTTTCAGTGTGAAAACAACCTAAAGAAAGGTATCACGCAGCATGCAAGCCGGCACAACGTAAACAGGCCTGCTCAGAATTTGAAAAAGAAACATCAGAAACTTTATTTATTCAAAAGAACAGATCAGTATTCTGGCCAGGAAATTTCCTTGATGATTGCTTGAGTCAGTACCGAGTAGATTGTGCTTCAGAGAATTGTTTGTCGCATCGATAGGTTAAATTTTATTTGTAACTGCCGTTGTAAACTTCAGCTCCTTTCAGCGCGATGCTGTAATAAATTCTCCTTTGGTAATTAGCTTCACAGCGTAGCGGCTGTTTTGTTGGAACCACTTTATAGATCAGTCATAGTTTTGGTTCTCCTCTGGCCTGGGTACTGTTCTGATCAGTGAACCTATCGAAGCTTATCAATTGCCGAGTCTTATACTTTGTGTTTACAGTGCGACCGAGCGCACAAAGGAGTTCTCGACAGATCAGTGAAATACATGTAAAACCCTTCTTGATCAAAGTAACGCTGAAATTCTCCTTTAAAGGACAGTGAATATAAGCCACCTCGATAATCTCAAAAGTAGAAGCTGCTGAACCGACACACGTTTGGAAAACATCCACATCGAGCACTGCGATCGATGTTCACTTCACGCGTGCTGAAGATTACTGATAATGATGTGTCACGTCCGCAGTGATAATACAACATGAATCGAGGTGCATCATGGGATACTATTCGATCGTCGCCTGGGGCCCACCTTATATATGAGGAACAAGAGTGGTCCAAGTATTGATCCTTGCGGGACGCCTGATAATAATGGGAGAGGTTCAGGGTTGACGCTGAGAAAGGCAACCCTTTGGACACGGTCAGTGAAATAGTGTTCGAACCAGGACAACACTGGGTACCGCAGATGTCGAATCGGTAGAGTTTCTAAACAGCACTGTGGTTTACCCTGTCAAAGGCTTTAGCGAATTCAAGATAGATAGCATCAACTTACACTCGGTTGTCCAGCTTTTCGCCTATGTTATGAAAGATTGAAGTAACTGGGCCGTGGTGGATTCGTCTTTTAAAAACCCGGACTGCTTAAACTTAGTCCTTTGTTATTGCTGATTTGATTGTTTTTTTTTTTTTTTCATTTTTTTATTGGAAGCTCAGCCATAAGATTTAACGTTCAGCTCCTGGTGTATATCACCACAGCGTGCAATCTCGAGCAATACAACGGGGTTGAAAGATGCGGAGTAATTCGAGAGTTGTAAAAACCGACGACGAACTGGCCGAGTCTCAGAAAACACAGTATAGGAGGGAAATGTAGCAATTGTTTTCTTTCAAGTGTTCGTCCTTAGATTCGCAACGTTGTTAGCACTTGATGGGTGGTAAACGAAGTGGTTAAGAAGGAAGTTCAAGGTGGCTAAGATGTAGAGAGCCGAGAGCAGGCGAAGGCGCGTCCTTGTCTCCACCATTGATGCTTCATTATTATGTCTTATAAATGTAATTGGTCTTAAGTGCATTCAGTTAACCCTTTCGAAATGCCGCGCCCTTGCTTACGGTCAGATTCCCTTAGCTTTTACTAGGAAGGTACGCTCGATAACCAACTGCACTCATACCGGACTCGGACGAGCGGTGGAAATGGAGCTTACCTTTAAGGGTAAACATATCTTTGCAACAGCCATAAATTATTGTCCGCACCTGGTATTGTATTGATCACCATTGCTTCTGAGGAATAAGCTTCCCCTTCTGAATTCCTAGCAACGCAGACGTAGCTATCTTCGCTGTTCTGTATTTCCACTAAAACAAGAATGAGCCATGAAATTCCATCAATTTCAAGCACTGTTCCATTGGGCTGTGTAGAGTTGTTCTTTAACCAAGTAACTACAGGTGGAGGTGATCCGGCGGCTTTACAAGCGAAGGGAACCATGGTGATATTTTGCTTTAAGGATACTACCACGTTTTGCGGATAAAGTGAAATTGTTGGCCCTGGTAGAAAAATGAAACAAATCTTATTACTCCAGTGTATCTCAGTAGCTATGCACTCATTTATTTCTTAGCGAACTGAAACTCAAAATGAATTTACATCAGTGAATTCTTTACTTTTGTTTGCCATTTTTAGTAGAGGGAATCAGCCACTTGAATGCCTTAACCCACCCTAGTCCCCAAGCGCTCCGGGCTCGGTTAAACGTGGCCGACTACCGTGAGCTGTTAGGCACGCCGGATTAGGAAGCAAGATAGAACACCTAGATACCAGGCTGGATTCAGCTGATTTTTAACTGGCCCGTTAATTCATTTTATGACGCCCATGAGCTAAAAGGACGACATGCAACTCGTTCACAGGATCTTAAAGGAGCACTCGCCTACGAATAAAAAATACAATGTTTGGAACCTATGGCTGGCTACGAAGTAGCCGCGGGAGTCACGCAACACTGAATTGCACCAAAGACTCTTTAATTACTTATCGAAGGTGGTGACAGTTATCCATCGTATTCTCCAAGGTATAAATTTAATTTTTAATATGCGATACGATGAAGACAGTGCTTTGCACTCAAATCAGAACTTTCGTGTCTTTTATTTTACTGGTGTTCGAGCGAAAAAAGAAGGAAAAACAGAACTTTAAAACTGAAAATATCCGTTTATAACAACTTACTTTGCTTCATACTCAGTATTGTACTAGAGGATCTGCTCCATCCTTGCGAGTTTCTTGCCTCGCACCAGTATTCCCCTTGGTGAAGTGCTGTGACCAATTCCAAAGTTAAGGTCGAGAGACCTCTTGCTTCGGCGATGTTTGCCTCGGGCACAGGAATCCCATCCTTGTACCATGTAATCACGGGGTTTGGAATACCTACTGCCTTGCAGGTCAAGTTCGCTCTTCCTCCACGAGAAATAAACTTCTTAGCCGGAGGGTTGACAGTAAAAATTGGGGAGGAGCTCTCTAGATCATAACAACAGAACTTAACATTAAACTTAGATGTTGTACAAAAGGAAAACAAAATATTTATCTGTGTATCATTATTTCGCCCAGAACAAGCTCATTTACCTATAAAAATTGCAAGAACGGAGTTTTCGCCTATTTTATTAACGAGTTCGTATCTAAATGTAATAAATTGTTTACTAACTGATTTCAGTTGACTATGATTAAACGACTGGTGTTTCTTGATCAGACACTTCTATGCAGCAAGTTTAAAGAAAATCTAGAGGAAATCAGAAAACCTTAAGGTGGATAATTTCACTGCTTACCTTTAAACACTAGACTGCGTAGCTGGCGGTATTGTGTACTAGTCGAGTGAGATTTGGCGGCGGAGCCGCGAGAAATAAACGCCTCATCCCAACTCCATTTTTTGGATCACGGCTCCGCCGCCAAAACTTTAATCACACAATACCGCCAGCTGCGCAGGCTATTAAACACTAGCTCTTAATATATAGAGCCCGCGTACAATGCAGCTAGGGACCTTAAGCCGGCAACGACGACGGCGACGGCAAAGAGAACGGGAAAAAATGTAGTATGTTTAGATTAGCAGAACAAGAACTTTGCACGTTCAGCACGCTTTTTTGTACATTTGTCTGCCGTCGTTGCACAGGGGACCTACAAGCGCCTCTCAGGCCAGGCGGCCGATATGCGAGCGTTCAAGGGTCTCAGAAACAAATCGAACAACCTGATGAATGTTGCACGCAGGGTGTTTTACAAAGACCTCATTTACAAGAGCAGTGGCGACCAGAAGAAGCTTTTCTCTTTAACGAGTAGATTGCTTGGCGTGGCTCGAATAACTCAATATCCTCCTTTTACAGACAAGGTAGTACTTGCTTATAAGTTTGGTGATTTTTTCGCTCCGAAGGTTGTGGTAATACAAAACAAGCTTGATAACATGGCTACGACAGTGTCGCCTGGCAATGAGAAATGTTTAGCGGACTCACCTGTTGCGCAACTATGGATGGTTTCAGAGTATTTAATGAATCGGAAGTCCAGAAAGCTCGTTGAGGCCGCGCTTAAGAAATCCTACTCAATTTACCAAATACCTACGCCTCTCGTTGTCGGCTGCATTGATATTCTGGTGCCTGTTATCACCAAATCATTAATCTCTCTCTACAGACGGGTTCATTTGCTAATNGTGTTCGTGGAACTGCAGACCCGTTGACATTACATGTAATTCTAAACCATTTCAAAAAAATTCAGAGTTGAATTCAACTCTTAGTTTTACTTGTAGACTGTGTCTTATGCCAACAAATACGGTCCCATTCAGCGATAAAAGCACATGTGATGTAGAAAATCCTGAGTGAAAAACAACCAAAGCCAAACACGAGTCTGCGAAAGATTCCGAGAAATCCTATGTACTGCGCATGCGTGTTAAGGAAAGAATGCGTGACCGTTGTGAGACCGCTCTTGTTTTTGACTTTTTAAAGCAATGTTACACAGACGACGATTTCTCAAAATCTACTCATTAAAATTTTGTGATATTTGGCAGAATTTTTACTTTTATCATATTTCAAATAATGAGAACATTAAAACGGAAGTTGAACAGACGAATTTTGTGACACATTGAATAATTACAGTACAATTATATTGTTGATTATCTAAAAACCCGTCTGTTAAAATTTGGTCAAATAAGTTTCAAATGGTAATGATTACTTATAGTAAGGTGTGTGCAAGTTTATAGGAAAATCTAATGAGCGAGTTTTATGTAAACTGAGCAAAAAGGAAATTTTAAGGTTGTATTCAATTCTTTGATGTTGCCATGGAAACTACAAAAACGTCAAATTTTAACCGTCCATCAAAATCTTTTATCAGTATATTTTTCACTTGCCAAGTTTCAGCTTGTGAGCTGCAACCTTTCTCTTGCTATGATTTGGCAAATGACATTTACTTTCAAACTGCCAAAACTGTGTTCAGCCACCTTAAACTCCTTAATATCTTGTTGGAGCGTCAGCACAGGGATGTCGGCATACGTGGGAAAATGCTTTACTGGTTCAGCTCATATCTGTCGAATCGGAGTCAGCCATCGATGGATCGCTTCTCAGACAGTTCTCACCTGGCTGTGGCATACCTCAGGGTTCTTGTCTGGGACCCTTGCTGTTCGTCATTTAAACATCCTCGCTGTTTAAGATTATTGAGCGTCATCTTCCACAAGTTCATTGTTTCGCGGACGACACGCAGCTGAAACTCAGTTTCAGAGAAGATGACGATAACGCACAAGATGAGGCACTGCGTGCTATGGAGGAGTGCATACGTGCCTTACGGAAATCGCTGACTGATGGAAGGTTGCTACTAATTGACGATGAAAGTGAATTTCTCGTCATCGAGACTAGACAGCAGCTCAATAAACTTGGCGCCTTCAGTCTACAAGTTGGTGATTATACTATTGATGCTTCGTTGAATGCTAGAAACTTGGGGGCATTTATTGACAATTAACTAAGTATGAACAATCATATTAAACAAATAATGGGTAAAGCCTGTGTCTATCATATTCATAACATCCTTTCAGAACACTGCGGCAAGACTTAACGACCGTATCTCGCCATTTCGCCAGCTCTTTCTAATCTTTATTGGCTATCGCTGCCAGTGATTTACCGTATCTATTTTAAAGCTGTAATTATCACTTAAGGCCATTCATGGCATGTCACCTGGATACATAAGCGATATGGTTAGCATTAGGACCTCTTCTTCATATTCATTAAGATGGCATCACTCCACTGTTTTAGAACATCCTAAGACGCGTATGCTGGCAACATTAGGCGCTAGATAGTTTTCCGCTGCCGCTCTTAAATTGAAGAACAACCGTCTCGCGCATATCCGTGATATCGGGTAACTTAAGAGACATATCAAATCATACCTTTTGATATAAGCTTTTATGTAGTTTTAACTTGATTTTATTTTCACTTTTATTTTATTTATCTGTATGTATTTTTATCAGCATATTACTTTTATTCGGTTTTATCTATCATAGATTCCTTCTATAATTTTAATCATCATTAATGTAAAGCGCTTTTGATCATTTTTATGTTAAAAGGCGCTATAGTAAATTATTTATTTATTTATTTTATTATTATTGATTATTTGCCCAAGAAATATAATTACCAGAATCATGACCACTTCTTGATGGAGGTATAATAAAAAGTACAAATATATACTTCACTGCTTACCTTTAAACACTAGCTCTATAGAGCCCGCCGTACATTGCAATTGATTATTTGCCCAACAAGTGTAATTACCAGAATCACTTCTTGATGCATTGTTAATTACATGGGTACAAACTTTGCTTTCTTCAATATCATTTGTTCTACCACCGCATTCTTTTATTTTAAAAGGATTATCATTGAAGTAGAAGTGGATCCAATACGGTTGGCCGAAACTTGGAATGCCATAGTTTTCTTTGGAAGCGTTGCTAGTGCAAACTATTGTTACGCTGTATCCCACGAGCAACACGTGATCATCTGGGAACTCAAGAGTGTTGATAGTCAGTGAAGGAGCTGTAGGAACTGTAAATGGTTAAATATTAGGTTAGCAAAAACCATCAGTAGACTTTGCGCATACCTAAGGAAGGGAAAACAAATATCTTCGACTCTTTATTTTCTACTTAAGTACACCTCATTTGCCCCTAACTATGATATATCAACTGCCATAATAACATCATCATACATTTATATTTTGTTTATGAGGACAAATTGTACAGTCGTATAATTTTTACTACTAAATAGTTTTGGCGTGACAAAGCATAATTTATAAAACAAATTGCAGCACTACAACACTACCATGATGGTCATTTCCCCATGGATCTCGCCTATCCCTACCAGAGACGGAAGTGGCCAGTCCTCCGTTACATCTACTATATCATTCTATTGCAAACCACATACATTGAAAGGTTCTGCTTTTCTCGTCGAAGTAACAAAAGCTGGCAAGCATTGCAAGCTCTTCATTTGGGGAATACCAGAGAGCGGATGGAGTTAGTGGAAGTTGTCCACCGAAATCCATTGTTATATATACGAAAGCTAACTAGCCTGATTTTCATGAGGTGTCTCCTTTTGGAAGCTTGGTTGTCTTTAGCGGATCCAAAGTCCTAGAACAGCCACGACAGCTATCGAGCGAGGTTTGGAGAGAAAAGTAATGTTGATGTTGATAATGACGATGATGATTATTATGATTATGATGATGATGACGATGATGATCATGATGATGATGATGATGATAGTGATAATGATAATAAATCTTGGATAACAACTAATACATTTATTCAAACGGACGAAGGCCTTGCTAAGCCGAAGTTAGAGCCGAAACGTCGACCAATTTAAGCAAACAGACGACAATCACTATCCCGTGTTCGGTAATAATTAATAATTAAAATCATTTGGCTGACTAGTATGCGATTAGACAGCTTCATGATGAGGAATAGAAGCAGCATCGATTACTCCAATTTAGAGCTGCTGAAAAATGGAATCAACGAGATCCTACTCAACTAATATGGAAAGATTATGTCAGCACAGACACCCATTTCGCCGGCCCCTCCTTAATTATAAGCCGTCTTATCTAGTTTTGTTGGAAATTAATTTCCGTGGAGCACATTATTTTTATTCCTCTGACTTTCGCGTTTTAAATCGTGGTATATTTTTGCTTACCTTTTTGTTGTTCTTCCATTGGAACACAAGCTGTTTCTGCATTACGGAAATAGAAAAAAGCCAACGAAATAAGCAACAGCATAATTACTCAGCTTATCTCTGGTATGCTGCCTGAAATGAATTGAAATATTATTGTAAACATTAATGAAATGTTTGAATTAAGCATGTTCTGACCCACCATAAAATATGGACGGTTGACGTTATTTGTTGCATCATAATAACAATCAGCATGAGTTTTTAAATAAATGAACTTTCGTTGTTTTCTTTTCCGTCGTTTAATGCAGTTGAAATTGATTTTGAGGGTCACCCACGAAGTGAATAGCTCAGCTCAATTAATGAAGTTTCTAATGTAGAACAACTGCACTCCTATTATTATAGAATTTTTCAGCTTAATCTAAACAATTGATGATAAAAAGATAAGCTAGTATTCATATTCATGTTTCAGTTAAGAGTTTACAAGAGGCTGAATCGGGCTGAGCCACTTTAATCTAAGCCACCTTTCATAAGGCCCGCCATATAAAAGATGAAAAATCATATTCCTTTTTAAATCGACTCATGTGATAGGTCTTCTTATTTTATTGCTGTATTTTGTTGCACAGCACACAATCAGGCCGGTTCTATTGACTCTATTCCGGAATAAGAATAAAATAATACTAAAACTCTAGAAATCACTTGTTTTGGCTTTTATTGTACAATGCTATATTTACAAAACTGCCTGAAATAAAATGCTTTATTGTATTAAAGTTTATAAATGGTCCAAAAATCACCGTAGAAGAAATTAGAGACAAAAGTTTTGGGTTTTCTTACTCCGGTATACAATTAATCGAACGCACCGAGTACTGTAAAACAACAACTAGAGACTAAACGCGTGAAATCCGTCAATCACGTTGTTCATTTGACAACACCTTACTTTGTAAAAAAGAAACGTAAAGAAATCACTGACAGCAGGTAGCTATACAAGCTATAAACTCATGAATCCAAACAGTATGAGTAAAAATTGAATAAAATGTAATGGGACACCAATTTGGCACAATTAAAAACAGTGAAAAGGCCGTTGCTAACTAATGTGCCAATTTACTCTACAAAATGAAGTCAGAAAAAATTATTAAGCTTATATTCATCATTTGCTTTTAAAACAGGCCTAATTTGAGCTCTGCTGCGTTTTTTTTTTAATTTAGATGGCAGCTATTTGTCTTCGAGGAATCGTCAGTGTTCAGTCACTGATTGCTAAATGGTCCAACTCATGATTTTCAGAATATAAATTAAAGTAACCTCTAATTCATCATCATGATTCACCATCTTTCTAAAAAGTGCCTTTAGTTTTTGTAATTAAAAATAGCAAGGTGTTGTTGATGGTTTACCGGACTTGAAGAGATTCTTGACGTTTAGTTTGTATCCCAAGTGGTAAAAGAACAGTGAAAATGGACTGTCAATGGTGTGGTGTTCTAATCTGATTTTTTCATTTCAAGGGGTTTTGTCGGGCAGTACAAACCTTTAAATCCCCTTAAGCAGTGAGCCAAATCTTGCGCTAAGGCTATGTCCACTAGCACACTGATCTCAAAGTAAATAATAATGACGCTGTCTTTATGATTCAGTTAGACATGGTCAAGCCGATAAGGGAATTAAGTNCTTATATTCATCATTTGCTTTTAAAACAGGCCTAATTTGAGCTCTGCTGCGTTTTTTTAAATTTAGATGGCAGCTATTTGTCTTCGAGGAATCGTCAGTGTTCAGTCACTGATTGCTAAATGGTCCAACTCATGATTTTCAGAATGTAAATTAAAGTAACCTCTAATTCATCATCATGATTCACCATCTTTCTAAAAAGTGCCTTTAGTTTTTGTAATTAAAAATAGCAAGGTGATGTTGATGGTTTACCGGACTTGAAGAGATTCTTGACGTTTAGTTTGTATCCCAAGTGGTAAAAGAACAGTGAAAATGGACTGTCAATGGTGTGGTGTTCTAATTTGATTTTTTCATTTCAAGGGGTTTTGTCGGGCAGTACAAACCTTTAAATCCCCTTAAGCAGTGAGCCAAATCTTGCGCTAAGGCTATGTCCACTAGCACACTGATCTCAAAGTAAATAATAATGACGCTGTCTTTATGATTCAGTTAGACATGGTCAAGCCGATAAGGGAATTAAGTCAACAATAAGCCAAGGTGATGTAATATACTGCGGATGTTATTTTATCAACGTGTGGTACTAACAACGCTGCATTTCGTAGAAGTCGGAAAAGCTGATTATAGCCAAGCTCCTGATTCAGACGGACAAACCAAGAAGTTATATTCTTTGCCACAAGAAGGCGGCCAAAGAAAATAGTGAGAATATAACGTTCTTTTTAGATAAACAAGTTTATTTATACATATTATAACATGTTACAAGATTTTGGGATGACAAATAACCTGACAATAAATATCTGGTTAAAGGAGGCTAGCTATTGATAGATGACCTTTCTTTTTGTGACAATGAAATTTATACTTTTATAAATAAGGAAAAAAACACAATGGCAAACTCTTGTTTATAGCAGGTATTTTAGAAACCCAAAGAAAACCCTCTGGCTTCAGTCGTTCCAATGGAAAAATCTCTATATCGTGGATAACGCAATTGGTTTCCAAAATACTTATCCGCTGGGTAGTGATCTATGCGATGGATAGCACTATCTAACGTTTGAACGACCGGGACCTGGTGAATATAAAAAGCGATATTGGTGGGAATCAGTTTGGAAGCGATACCCGTACCACATCCATTATATATCAGTATCAACTATCAAGGGGCTCGTTTCCTCAGTAAATATACATTAACTCAGCCATTATTGTAAATTTCTGAAGCAACTGCTTACTGATAATTAAAATTTTATGCTGAATCATCCAAGAATTACTCTTAGCCTGTATACTAGCCAGAGGTTTGCGCGTATGTGTGGTAGGGCCAGAAAATTTTACAATAATTCAGGCAGTACCGGCAGTCGACCTTCTTTAACTGAACTTTAATTAAGGGATAATAATTAACACGCCACAAGCCACAGCCGGATACGTAAATCCGAAAAAAACAGCTATGAGAAAAATAGGGACCGTGTAACCCCAACCTAACCTATGGCATCGCCTTTGGCAAGCCAAAACTAATAAAATGAAGCCTAATAACATGAATACTAGCAGAAACGGCGAGATGCTACATAAAATAGTAAGAAACATATGGACCAGTGCCAAAGGCAACGAAAAAAAAGGCTTACAACAGAATAAGTGAAAACTAAACTAAACACAGCAAGTTGACGTGGCGAGGCCGACCGTAGAATGACACCAATAACTAAACGCCGGCCCCTGTATCAGACCCTGTAACCGCGATTCCTCGCACGCTACAGTAGAACCCAGTTCTCCGTTCCGTGCCGGCAAAATGATAATTTATACCAATTCTTATTTACACAATTTATATTACTCTTGTTACGTAACCGAATCTCATCGACGAAGTTTGAGCGATTCTATAATTATAATTCTATTTGCTTTAAACCTTTTTAGCTCCTAGTTTTGGAGATGGTTTTTCTGTTAAAAAAAAAAAATAAAAATAAAAACCGTTGATTATTTCATGGTGCGTGCATCATTAGTTAGACGCCTGTTACTTTTAAACGGACCGATACCTCCATATGGAGAGTAAGGCACAATAAAGATACTGTTACCGTTACTGTTACTGTCGGTCATCATCGCTACCATATCACTCCATATCACTCGATATGGTTTTCATTTTTTCAGTATGGCGTAAGAGCTGCAGACATCTGTGACGATCCATAATCCATGTAAAAAAAGTGCAAGGTGCTTTTACTGCATAATTATTTGACAGTTACTGCTTTGATTTTACAATGTGGAAAAACTTGCACCTGCGTTTGACCGGCTCAGTGACCTATAACTCGGGCCCCTTACGCTCGCTTTTAACTGCATAATTATTTGACAGTTACTGCTTTGATTTTACAATGTGGAAAAACTTGCACCTACGTTTGACCGGCAGAGTGACCTATAACTCGGGCCCCTTCCGCTCAGCCAATTTAGTGTACATGTAGTACATCAATGTGGATTATTTCCGACGAGGGAATCCGGAAGTTCACCAAAATAATGACTACACAACCCGTTATACGATGGACTTACCAACTGGAGAGAGTTTCTGCTAGCGACTCAATTTCGACACCAATGAGTTACACATGACAGTCTCCAAGTTTTAACAATTAACTCTTGGCGAACGATTTTAATAGGAATTCTTAATTATTTGAATTTTGGTTAAACAAACGAAGCATCAAGCCTGAACTTTGATCGAGTTCATCGGAAATGACGCACTGGAAGGAAGACCATTCCAATCAGCAAAGCGTAGCAAGAACAACAGAGACCACTTTTGTAACGAACACAAATATTGCACCGCTAACGGCAAACATGCAACACCCATTCAAGTGACCCATTAAAGATATTGGTATGAATTCTTCTGTTTGTGGTAAAACAATCAACAAATTTGATCAACATATGTTATCGAATATGGACATATGGACAAGAAATGAATTCATAAAGGAACACCAAATAAATCTAGGTAGTTCTAGACGGAAAAAGGCTGCCGGTTGTCACAGTATGGACGCAAATACGGCTAAAAGAAAGGTCTTATAACTCAGTCACTTGAGACGGCATGAAAATTTATCGTAATTAGCTGTTTATAGTCAATATCGCATGTTCTAACAATACAAATGACAAATGGGCTTTTAGGCGCGTTTTGGCATGGTGCAGTTCAACCTAGCTCCTTAGACTTTTTAGCCCTCCAATATCCAAGTGACAAATTCCCCACACTGATCGATCTCTGTCCACATTTATTCAAACAATTTGTTGGTAAAATTTTCCCTCAGGAGATCATTTTCTTAATTCTTATATTATAACCATCTCTTTTTAATACCTATTGATATTGATCGCAGAAACTTGTTTTTGGTCACTCTTTGGACTTAAGGGCTAAGCGGAAACCAGTTAAGACTAGAGAAGGAGCTATGTCACCGCTTGATGGAGGGGTGCCCGCTTTTACAACCATGACACAGCTGTCATTAAAAGTAGTCTGTAAATTAAGTT